CCCGGGAGTAAAAAATGCATCAAAATGCCCCCCCGCCCCCCTTTTTTTTTTTTTTTTTTTTTTTCCAGTGGGCGCTGCTGAAATTCTCCCAGAAGCGTGGCTCTTTCTCCCATTTTGAATCGGAAAACCAGAGCTAGTTTCACAGGCGGTGCGGGCTGGGGGAGGCCAGGGTCTGGGGGCTGCTGGTGTTTAATGCTCCTTGAAAGTCTCTGTTAACATTTGCTTTTTCCAGCTGCAAGAAACTTTCCTTCTCCAGGATTTATAGCGCCTGCATGGGTTTATTGAAGCGGGGGGTGGCGGTGAGAGGGGGGGCGAGCATGGAGCTCAACAGATCAAGATAGTTCAGAATAATTCACTTTCCGTTCTTTATCCCGAGGAGCCTTTTGCAAAGGCAGAAGTTGGCAGGACCGGGAGAAGGCGATTTTTGAAGCCACAGATGTTGCCTTTCCCTTTGTAAGGAGGCTGATCACAGGGCAAGTTAAGATGCAGTCTCGTCCCTAAAGATCTTTATCCACGCTTTCCTGCCACATCCAGCTCCTTCCTATCCAGTTAGATTAGCTCAGCCCCACTCAATGCTTGTCTGCTGATCATTTGGCTATAAACGCATTAATTATATCTCATTGCTTACATACTGCTTTGTAATGATATTTTATTGATTTAAATTGTCCCTGAGAGTGTGCAGTGAATTGGGGTAGCTTTATTTAAAGGTACAACATTTCCATGTCCAGTGCTTCATTTTCTCAGGCATTTAAAAAAACCCTCCAGTTCACTATTGGGGGAAAATACAGGCTTCGTATTTTGTTGCCCTTTATTTAATGTAACAAATACTAAGAATTGACACAGTATATAGATATGTGAAGGGACCTGCAATCTCCTGGGCAATCAGTTGAATCTGGAACACTGATTCCACAAATATCATCTACTTTGTGTTTTGTGGTTTATTAGAAATCGAAAGAAACCTTCTGAGTTGTGTTTCTTTTTAACTCAAAGGTAAACTGAGAGCAACTCAGTGAGGTCTGGCAAGAGGACAGGAGGCATTTGGAGAGGAGAAGGCTGCTAATACAAAAACATTTCCTAGCAGCAGAGACTGGTAGAGATTTAGGAGATGGTGTGTAGGTTGTCAGCACATGGTTTGATTATGAATTATGCCCTTTAGCCCAACAAAAATATTAGTGTGCATATGTAGCACAGATCACAGAGTCAGAATCTGATCATTTTACTCCTTCTCTGACACTAATAATTTAGGGAAGAGGAGAGTAGTAATATCTGTGGAAGAAAGTTGCTTCCATCACATCAAAGCAAAGCAGTGGCTGTGAGGGAAGCACTGCTCTCCTCAGTCACACTACCACACACTGACACCTTCCAAGAGGTTTGGAAGGACTCAGACTAGTTCATATCAGACAAAAACCAATTACCCTTGGTTATCTGGAAATGTTATGGACATGCCTTGTCACATTTTCAACACAGGCAGAAACTGAGTAAGAACTGCCAGAGTTTGGGGACAGCGGCTTTAACTCATAATTGTTTTTGTTAAAGCTCAAGAATAATGCAAACAAGAATACACCCTTACTGCAAAATAAATCCCACCTTAAGCCTCTGTGTCTAAGAGTAGAAGGCGAACAGGAGAATAGCCAAGGCCGTGCTCTCTTATTCTGAATGACACGAGCTGTAGTATTGTGAGGTCATTGACTGATATCGAATTATTCTGCAAAAGTTTCCAAAGTCAGACATTTTTTTCCTTGGTACCTGTTTTAATGTAGGGGATGTTGATGATTATTTTCCTTCTAGTTTCAGAGCCCACCATGAAGAGACTCCTGGTGCTTTGTGACTGCCTCTGGGCCTGGAGCCTCCTTCTGAATGCATTGACTGAAAGAAGGTGGGAGATATTTTTTAATGCACCGACATATTTTGGGAACATTAATTTAATGTAGCAGCATAAGATAAATACTGCATGGGCTGCACTACTACTAAGTGTAGTGGGGAAAGTTAATCCCTGTTCAAATCCCAGCTAAATCTAAATATCTAAATAAGGGAAGACTGAAAGAAAACTACAATTTGTTTGCATAACATCTTTTTTCCAATATCGTGCAAAAAAAAAAGGAAAAGCTTTCTGAAACAAATTGAAACTAAACTACCTCTTAAACACCTGTGCAATCCTTTCTACTCTTACATAATGCCTGCTCAGAAATACAGGTTTCTTTAGAGAGAAAAAAAAAAGTGTAATTAAGTTTTTTTAAATCTCATTTAAGTGCTATTTAGTAACTTTATTGTCCCTGTAAGCAGAGGGAAAACTTTCACTTTGTGGGTCAGGATTGTGTCCTAACTTAGTATCTGTTTTTGCAGATCTGAAGTAGGGCTTCCTGGACAGGACATTGGTGTTGTCCTGTCCAGGAAGAGTGCTTGGATGAAGCAGAATTTCTAAGCTGAAACCCTGTAAGAGTTTATGCTTGAAAGACCATGCTGCATTGAATGTTTATGAAATATATGTTGAAATCATAATCTACAAATAGCATTAGTATTAAGAACTATTTCTAGTCATACAACACTTCATCTAACAACTAGTAGGTTAACTAAAGACTATAAAGCAGTTTGGAGTATACTTGAAGTACTCTCTGCAATTCAAAATTCAGTCAAGGTGTTTAAGAAGAGTCACAGATATATTTCTGCATTTTAAAAATAGTAATGTCCTATCGATAATGTTACCTAACGACCAAACAGAGGTAGAAATTCCATATTGTGAACAGTCATCCCTAAAAGATCTATTTGTGTCTTGATCTCCATAGTGTCTCCTTATGCTTTCACAGCTCTAGATAAACTTATCTTCTGGCTGCCTTGAAGATTTTAAAGAGAGTGGAGTGGGCAAAGGTTCATCTGCACAAGCATTTCCTCTAAAAAAAAGAAAAAAAGAATAATAGTGGGTGATTCATGTAACAATTGCTGTATTGAATAAAGGTGACATTTTAGAAGCAATACCTTTATATTGATAATATATTAAGAAATGTGAAATTTGAAGTATGCATGAAACACTTCATCTGGCCTAGCAATAGAATTTTGTGAAAACATGATTATATAGATATGTGTACATTTGTACGTGTACATATATTTATTATATCTGTAATGTATGCATGTGCATTCTTAAAGTGAGAATTAAAACATATCGGACTAGTGTTTAAAAATTATATGGTATGTCAGCATTATAATGACCTGTAGATGGAGTTAGTGCACAGTTTTTTATTATACTGTGGTTTAATGTGAAAACACAATCACATACAGTCCCTTTTTCCTCAAAATGTACACACTTCACACAAAATATATCTGTTTCTAAAGCCATTTTGTTGTAGTAACTTCCCTTGCCTTTTCTTCTGGAGTGCTGTTAATCCTTTATGATAAGAAACAATTGATGAAACAGATAAAGTGTCTGTGATACTGCAAGACACTGTCTTTCCGTATCATTCTTCTTGTCATAAAAAAACCCCATCATTAGGACTATTTTAATGTGTATGTTCTGAATGAAAAATCTCAGTCCCTCTGGAGTTACAGTACACTTCATATGTATACAAATGTTCAGATTCTTCCTGTTGTGACCATATGTCAGTTAAAACCAGCCCTAATGGTGCTTTTTACCTCTGATGAAATGGTGGGAAGACCAGGTAAGGGTACTTACAAGTGGGACACCCAGAAAGGAAGCGGTGTGTGGTACTGCATCCTTTCCGACTGCACTGCCACCAGTCTGTCTGTCTGACGCCTCTTCCGCAAACATTTATTTAACACTAAAATTTCTGAAGTGTTTTTATATCCTTTTGCCACCTCAGTCCCGATGACCTTCTGCTACCCTTGAGATATGTATGTACAGCACCTTGTTTACTGACAATGAGTGCTACTATAAAATTTAATCTAGTGAAAAGTCCTGTGTTGCAATTCTACATAAGGCGTATGAGGAATGATCCTTTGAAAGATAATACTCGCTGGAGAAAGCAGGAGAACTTGTTATTTGGTAATATCGAGGGAGCATAAAAGAAAAAGAAATTAATATCTCCATTTAAAATTCAACACTAGGTAGGAAAAATAAATAGAAACTAACCTATTTTTTTATTAAGTGAAATTATATGATACAGCTAGAGGAAACTCATAGTATTTCTAAAAACTGTTAAGAGATTTTGTCTTCTTCATTAGAAACAAAGGTTTATATGCATTAAAATACCCTGAAAATTGTTCTGTATAAAGTCACATCCTATCGAAATAGAACAGAAGTTAGTAAAACTTCCATGAGTGTCTGTTCTGAAACTCATTTAAATTTGTAGTGTTACATATTCAAACCTGTACTGCAAAAGAACTTGGCAGCATTTCCAGAGTACCTGTATTCAGGGTGTCTTTCCTCCTTCTCTCTGTATTTGATACAAGGGGAATATACATATGGGATACACAAAGGATGTTTGACTGATGCAGCTTACAGAAAACAATTTCGTAGGTATTTAAACAGAATCAGATCATTTCATGTAACAGTATATTCCTCTTAAATGGTCTGTGCTGGTTAGAGCAGGAACAACTGTCAGAGCATTGGGACCTGCGTATTGCCGTAGCCGTAGAGATAACAAGCCGCCCAATGGAAGAATCACTTTTGTGACTTGACCTGATCCTAACAGAAGTTTTTGGCAGTGCACTGTTTATCCAGTTCAGTAGCAATGTGTGCAACAAAATGATATTTTAGAAAGAGCACTTTTGCTTTTCGTCATGATGACTACACGTTTATAATGGAAGTCTTCCTAGCAATTAATAAAAAACAATACTGTGTCTGGCTTTAAGGCTACTGTAATTTATGATTAAGGGAGTCAGCTATGACAGGGGATTTGGTAAAGGTTTCAGGTTTAAGAAAAAGGTTGATTCTGATGTCATCTACAGCAGACAAAAACCACTAAGCCCAAGGATTTAATTCTGATTTGTATTGATGGAAGTAAGATTTTGGTAGCTGAGTTCAAAGAGCTTAGTTTTATCTTTGTTCAAGCAAAATTTCAGGACCTTTGGCTGAGTTAGAGATAATACATTAGGGATCTGTAAATGAAGCTTTATAGACATGAGAGATTTCCATATCAACAGATGGTTTTGTTACACATTTGTAAGGAAAAGTTGAATGTATTCCTCTAAACCTAATTGCTAAAGGAAAATGGGAAATAAAGGAAAACGAAAATATATCTTGATGTATGAAAATGCACACTCACTTGATTTACTCCTGTATTCATAAAGACATCTCTGTATTTTTGTTTTATCTTTGTTTTAACACTTATTTTCAGTACTTGAGTGCCAGTGTTCTAAATTATTCTATCTTTCTTTGTATGCAAACCCTTTATAACTACCATGAATTAAACACACTATCTTTTGCTGACAAATGAGCCTTTTCCTGAAGAACACACATATTAGAACATTATAACCATTCATGAATAATGAGATATACGTTACAGAACTGACATTCTATTTTCTTACCTTTCCTAGAGAGACACTGATTTTCTATGACTTCACAAAAAATGATCAATTTAAGAAGAAAATGTTTAAATGAAGGAACCCTATAAAGCACTCCAATCTTGCTTTATGGAGAAGATTTTGTAACCAGGAACCAGTATAAGCAAGATTAAACAATTTTGGAATTATTGTTTTGTGAGGTTATTGGTGGATTACTGTTTTTCAGTGTTAACTGTTCTGTATTTCAGCTATGGACAAACCTCGTCACAAGATGAACTTAAAGACAACACCACAGTATTTACCAGAATATTGGATCGTCTGCTGGATGGTTATGATAACCGCTTGAGACCAGGACTGGGAGGTGTGTTGCATTATAATTATCAAGGTTACATGTTAGAAGTCAGTTAAAAGAATGTAATTTTTCCATGATACACTTGCTTTAATTCTGTTTATATATACACATAAAATAATGCTTATACGTAATATCCATCTTTTCAAAAATGCCACGCCTTCTCTGTGATTCATATACTTGGTTTTCTCACACTTATATCCAAAAGAAGAAGAAAATGGTTCACAATTCAAGACGACCTCTGAATATGGATTAAAAATTTGAATGTATACAGAATAAAAGATAATAAAATATGACCTGTGACCTCACAAATGACAAGTTTATGAATCAGGCCTAAACAGCCTATCTATCTATGTATGACTACCTTCATAAGATGTTTTGGTTTTAAAAGTGAAAGCATCAATCAACCTCAGTCACACAAGTCTCAGAGAAGTTTATAAGATTTTTTTTTTTACTTAGGTATATCAGGATTTGTTTCTGTAAAGTTTTGACTTCACAGCTTGGTAAAAATGTTTTTCTTCTTCTGCTCTTGGTGCTGAATCCATAAAAAGGTATAAAACCACATAGCAATTACATCTTTATAAAAATGTTGTTAGAAAGCCTAGTCTTTATCACCATCCCTATGTTCATTCTTCAACTTGTTCTACTGTCACATGATCCCAAAACTGGGTCTTAAAAGCTTGCTGTTCACAAACACAGAAGTTCTAAATATACAAGCACAAATCTGTTCTTTCCAGTGCATGGAAAGGTTGGGTTTACTTCTTTCAGGTGTCTTTTTTTTTTTTTTTTCTTTTGGACTCTTCAGGTAAAAATAAAACAAAGCAACCCACCCCTCAAAGCATAGTTCAAACTGTTTTCATATAATAGCTCTCAGAGGAACTGCATTGTAAGAAGAAGAGGATATTAAATTAAGAATTCTTATACCACCTCCTGCGGATGAAAGGGAAGGTAATTAAGACTAAGCTTATTCTGTGGTTTGAGGCTACCATCTTGCCACAGTTCTTGAATTGTGAGCCAATGGTTTGACTTCACTGACTTCAAGGAATAGCTAAAGATAAAATCTGCTTATAAAGTATTAACACGTTTAAAAATAGGTTGGTCTGTAAATTTTTGTGTGCAATTTCAGATAAAGACAACAAAATAAGAACCACTTTTTACTTTTCTCTACCAGCACTTTTGCCTGCTTACTTGTAAACTCTTGGACTAGTGTGGAAATAAATGCTCCTTAATCTTTGATTAATGCAACCGTACAGTTCAGTCAGCTACTATATCACAGTAAATAAACACAGCAGAGAAGACAATAAATAAATGAAACTCTGCAAACTGTAGAGTCTGGTACATGTCTACAAGAAAAATCTGAGCATATGATGATTTCTTAGATGAGTTTTGTAGATATTGTGATTTGTTTAACAGTTACTAGAAGAGCAAACAAAGGGAGATGCAGTGAAAGGATTTTCTCTCATTCTTTGGATTGCAATTTAGAGAACTAAGTGCATCAGTAATCAGTCTTATGTATGTCTGTTTAAATATATGTTTCTGAAGCCAGACTTCAAGGGTGTACTGGGAGAACAGGTCTGCAATACCTCATGAAAGGATCATCCAGTCCGGTTAAAATTTACTCCTGACAGGAAGATTGTTTAACATAACTGCCACTATAGGAGGAAATGAGTCTCTTCACAAACATTAACAGCCATTTGCGTTACTATCAGTTAAAATTAAAAAGGAGTGGAGCACGGGAAATATAGGGTGGAGAGAAGGCAGGACTGGAGTAGTTTCTCTAACCAAGGATTAGAGAAGTTTAAATGATCTTGGCATCCCTCCTTTTTTGAATTGTATTGCATGTTCTTGCCTGTAGCCAAGAACCTTGAATATCACAATTTCGCTGTTGCTCAGTACATTATAGTTTCAAGGTGTCAGTTGAACAGAATAAATTTAATTTATCTGTTATATTTGTCAGCTTTGAATACTAGAACTAAGACTACTGAGACTTTTAAAAAATCCCACATCCAATGAAATTGTGGGGAGTAAATTAATGTTTAAAACCAAATAAGAAAGAAGTAGCTTTACTCTTTTGGCTGTTGAATAATGCTTTATTTGAAAGACAGAAATTATAGATTTCAAAAACTAGTGACAAACATCTAGGCCAATGTTTTCAATTCTGGTACCAATTTATAACAAAGGGTTTGCTCAGGAATTTTGAAATTTGAAAATCACCTCTGCAAAATGTTCTTGCTGAGGTATCTAAATATGAACTAAGAACCTCGAGAGGACTCAATTTGACACATTTGATTTAGACACTTAGTATAATGGAGGAATGTGTTATGAAATGTTCCATATGTAAAAACACCCAGTAAGAAATCTAGATCAAGTTGTCAAATATATCACGGGTTTTGGAGTTGGAAGTTCAATAGCCATCAATTATAGCATGATCTGTTGCTGGAAATTTTAACATGTATATGGAAGAGCAATGATGGCTTCGTATCAAATATTCCAATCAGAACATGATTTTTATCTAAAGAGAAAGTTAAGAAAGATATAATATATCAGCATTTTTAGATATATAGAATTAGGTCTCAAACTTATTCATTTCATATTAGCTGTGATGCAGCTACCACAGAATTTATGAGATCAGAGACCCTTATACATATATATTATGTTGATAAATTTTATGCTGTTAGGCACAATGTAAATTTATGTACCACTGAATACACTATAGCACTCTTCCAATTATCCAAAATTGTCTATCCTGTTGTTTCTGTGCCTTCTGAGAAACAGTAGATGAAGTAAAACATTGCGTGGTACAGTTACTTTCTTCTGCAGGAAGGGGCATATTGCAGAAAAATCTCTGCTTATCCCTGCACGACCTCTCCTTCTGTAGTGCAGTCTTTCAGATACATACACCTACAGAAAATAGAATTCTGTGCATGAACAGAAATAGAAAAGAGAAGCCATTTCTCTCTCTCTCACCTATGGAAGAAAAGGTAGCTGATAGTTTCCGTAGTCAATTTATTTGTTTCTCCTTCCTTGTGTTTATGTGTATGCATGAAGAATTCAGTGACAAAAAGGTATTTTTACTGAAAAATTGTAATGAATTGTGAAAGAGGTTTGGTCTTGACCTTGCTCTACTCACTTATAGGAGTAATTTCCTCCTTTTTGAAATAAATGCCATCATAATTCTCTATCCCAAGTTTGCAAGCTTCCTATTAGTGTGGTGAACAGTTTCATTGTTTGGTAGAAATATCCTGGTGAGGAAGATGAGGCACCATGAAGCCAGGAACAAGCTTCTGGAGAGATCTTATTACATTGGTTGGAGCTATACTATATATTCATTGGAAAGCCAGGTTAAAAGGTGGAACATTAAGATAATGAAAAACTTAAGAGATGCTGAATTTTGAATCACTCTTTCAGCATGCATGGAATCAGTGCTAATGCTAAGTCTTTCCTTTCCTTTTTTTAGATCTTCTTTTGAGGTATCACTTCAAAAAGAAAACTAAAAACCACATATGTTCCATAAAGAGTATGGGAATGAAAATTATTATTCATTAGATAACCTCGTAAGGCCATACCTGAAATTAAGTGAGCAGCTCTGAGCATTTTGCTGTTAAACAAAGAAGGAATTATTTCTCATTAACAAGAAAATATAAAAATTGAGTAGGTGACCCATGGGGAAAAATTATAGTGATTGAATAGGCTCGTTATTTAAAAAATGGCATTGTGGCTAAAATTAATCTGATTTTTCTGTAAAAGAACCATGCAGCACTATGTTATACATTGGCACATTTGCACCTCTTACCAACAATTATTGATATAAATTATGTTGTTTAGATCTTTACCTCCTTCATATGTGGGCATAGTCACTTAATCAGACATTGCTAGGAAATAGCATCTGTTGTATTCATCCATAAATACAGACAAATAACTACATTTACAGTTATTTATGCCTGGAAAATAGAACTTTCAAAATGAATATAAAAACGTTCTGAATCATACTAGAGGACACCTATTAACTCTACGAGAGGATAATAATTTACAAAAAGCAAGGAGGAGGAATTGCAGAAAGTAGAACATATTGAAGTTGGAAAAGAGGAAATCATGACAGACATTAAGGGAAAAAATAAACAGTGAAGTCATTTAGATAACAGCACAATTTTCTGTGGAAACTATCTGTATCGTAGAACTAGAGGTGATCAGAAATAGGCTAAATAATAAAGATGCTGTTCTCTTTTTAAATGCACAATCCTGAACAAAATAAAGGCTCAGATAGTGTTGGGAAGGAGTCATATAAGTAGGAAAATTCACCTCAATGTTTGGTGACCTCTCCTAGTAAACCACTGTATCTAGAGCAGGAGTTTAAAAGAATTGAAAAGCAATGAAAAAATGGTGGAAAAAGTAAGTTTCTCAGATAAATGTATATGCCGTTGCCTGTTCTGGCTTGTCTTCATGTGAGGAACAGAGATGAGACCTGGGATGCCACCATTTAGAGTGCTGCAGTGGAGAGAGGGCAGACTTGCGCAGGGCAGGTTGTTTGTACTTGGTGCTGAGATTCATTAACATGAAATCAGGTGCAGCTACAGATTTTTTTAAGACTACCACGTTTGCAGTGCACACATCCCCTCTCTAAAACTAGAGGATATCATGCAGTCTGTGACCTTTTAACTTAGAATAATTTTAAATGTGGTTTATCGTTTTGAGAGGGATTTTGTAATAGAAAGGTTGTTTAATACAGAACTAAGAAGAACAAAAGTAGGTTTGATTAGGCAGACCAGAATCTTCCTAAATGAAATTTCCTTTGTAGTTGAGTCAAATGCCCATTAGATCATCCCAAGTAGATTATCTATATTACTTTAGTATTGAACAGAATTACACTTGTTTTATGCTATCAGTAAAAGTTGTTTGTTGATCTGTCCTGTGTGATGTTTATCAAAATTGAGTGTGACTGTCCTTAAGTGGGACGTCAGTCCATCTCAGGCAATTCATTACTTCTACAGAGTGCTTATATTTAGAGTGATGGAAAGTAAACCTGACAGTATTATGTTAATTAGATTTTAAAATTCAGTTTTATGAGAACATTATCTATAAATATATGATAAACTTATCTCTTGGTGATTGAGGTCCCAATGGAAATTGTTGGATTTGAGCTCATATCTGAGCTAAATTAAAGTTTAGGGAAAACACGGTCTGTATGTGCAGTAAAAATTTAGTTAAACATAAATGTGCTCTAAATGAAAAGAGAGTTGTACACTGGACCTCTACACGTAATAAGTAAAGAAGGACTAGGTGCTATACTTAACTCTGTAAAAACTGAAAGGTCTAATTTTAGTCTTTTTTCCACACTGTGGACACGAAATTGAGGTAAAGGCAACCGTAAAAAGCCATAGAAGACCCTAGCAAAATTGAATTAATACAACAGTAGGGAGGTTGGGAGAATATGAGCAGCTTTGAGCTGTTAATTGGCTTGCGGAGAGCTGCCATGACACTGCGTAGCCCTCAGTAAACCCTTCATAGCAGCGCAGACTACAGCTGGGTAATCACAAGACAGATCTCTGTTGTCCCTTTTGGCTTCTACTTTTACAAAAGCAGCAGCACAAAATTCTTATGAGTGTATTTGGTGTGGTTCTTCAATCAAAATACTTCATAGGATGCAGCCAGGGCGATTAGTCTACATGACTATTTTTTTAGTAATAATAGCGTACGCTACATGGGCATCTAAATTCTTTTCATTCAAAACCGTAGGAAAAGTCTTCTGCATTTTAATAATTATAACACACACTTACACAAGTCATGCAGGGGTAACAAGTGCATTACCAAAAAAGGTGGAATTAATTTAAACAACCAAAATATGCAATTCAAATAAGCCTTGTGCTCAAATACCATCAGGTCAGAAAGGGAAATAGTTAACACATAGTTTCCTATGATAAATAGGCTTATTTCCTGCTGTTTAAATAAATCTGTATTTCTTATTTTGTTCTCAGTTTGTAATGCAATCACAATTCTAGCAATAATGAGCTCCCTGGGAGTTTAAGTCAAAATATTTATTGTTATTAATTTTAAGAGTTTATGTTAGTCTAGCATCATTAGCAAAATGCAGTAGTTATAAACAGTAAAATTACAGTAGTTGATGTTGACTGGTGCTTTCATAGCTATATGTGGATCAATTGCCTGGGCCTGTGTTCCAGAGTGTCTAGGTGTGGCACTCACTATTTTGCCGATCACAAACTACTTGGATGCTATGGTTGCCTTACAGTAAAACTAGTAAGTCATTAATAATTTCTTTGGATTTTTTTACTGGAATTGTTGTGTGTTCTACAGATACACCTATGTTACTTAGTCCTGATTCACAAGACAGATGTTATTGCTAAGAGACATGGTTAACATGCCTTTTCAACTGATGGATTTATCCTCAGCAGTACGATCAGCTCCAGACCTAAGCTTGTTTTGTTCAATGACTTAGAATTTTCTCTAGTTCCCAGGAATATTGTGAAGGTTTTGAATATAACTCAGGATTTGAGGCTCCTGAAAAATGCATTCTGAGCATTTGAAGCATACTTTAAGCCTTCCCATGGTAATCAAGCTGCAAACCGAACATGGTTAACCTTGATTCTAAATATATATCCCAACTGTATGAGTAAACACATGTCCTGTGCAAGAGTGACTCACAACTTCTGAAGCTCTTAACAAAGCACAGTTGAATCATCTAATTAGTGAAGCAGTAAACAAAAATTTCAAAACTTCCATATGGCTTTGGAGGGCCTAATCTTTTTCTGTGTGCTCATACACGCTTTTTCATTGCTCTTGAAAATGAGGAACATATGAAAGAAAAAAGAAATCATTTGATGGTGTGTACAGCAGTTTTATATGGATTTGAAGAGACCAGGGATTAGATACTCTGCAAAAGGGTAATCAGTATGGAGATAACACAATCTCTTGTGTGTTCACAATCTGAATTTTCTATTATTACTTAAGACTTATTTGCCACTTAAATTATCTTCAATGTTATATAAAAATGAAAGGCATCACACGTTTTTCCTTGGAAATCTTCCATCTTACTACCAAAGCCTTTAATTTCCATTTAGTGTCCTCAAAGCGATTTCCGTAAGCCTCAGCCTCTCTACTATGACCATATATCTCCCAAAACTGGAATTTGGGATACTACTACAGGATATACAGATGATTCAAAGAGCATATCCTGTGTTTGTGTAAGGTAAATCAGTTAGCTATATTATATTAAATAGAGGCTCACTCAGAGCTGAGACTCTGACTTCACACCATTAAGGGATGAATGCATTGTGCCTGAAGAGCTTCTAGGATCTTCTGTCTCCTAATGACACCTGTGGAAGTGCCTTAATGGAAAGGAGATGGGCAGATGGGGAGTCAGGATGAGAGATCTTCAAAAGTGTCATTTGAGTTTTACTTTTCAATATGTAGAAGGCTAATAGGTTTCATGATGTTATTAGCTTCTCAGTCTTAAGGTGATTCAGTAGCTGGAAATTGAATCCATTCAGCTATGTTTTACTAGACCTCGTGAAATCTCCATCTTCTTTTTCTGTCAGCTGTTTCATACAAGACCATAGCCTCTTGAACTTTTGTCAAAGTGATGTGCTGAAGGAGAGAATACTTTTCTTCCAAGCCGAGTAACTTCTGGACAACCACATGCTTCTTCCAGTAATAGAAGGTTAAATTCTCACCATGAACTTCTTTAAGTCCAGAACCAATTAGATGTCAAGAGAATACTTAAATCTCGTTAAGTCAGTTGAAAAACTTGTAAAGAATGATAAGGTCATGCATTAATTTCACTGGACAGCCAAGGAGGAAATTTCACCTATCCAATGCTATTGTCAGTAGTCACTGTAGTTTGTAGATGTCTCAGTCACAGATGTAAAGCATGAAAAGAATATTATTAGGCAATTCAGCCACATCATACTATTTCACTTTCTTTGATTATAATACATTGGAAATTTCATCCTTTAAATTTTTTTTCGGTATGCCCTAGAGATTACATTTGTTACCTAATTTTTGCATTAACTTTCTAACAGAATACAAGTGTCATTCAGTGCGTTACTGGAATTACAGCAGAATCGGATCTAATATTACATCTTGATTATTGCTGTCTCACAAAAGGAGATATTTTATTGTATATATATTAAATATTAATGTTAAACTGCTTACATTTATATTTATTTAGAAGTTGTAGACTTTTTTGAATGAAAGAGAAAAATCTGTATGTGTATTGTAGAACACTGATTCTCATTCGAATTTTTGCATCAGATACAGAAATATATATTGTTAGTGGTTGCTTAGCCCTGATTTCTTCTGTCAGAACTTCCTTGTCAGATGGAACAAATCATATTTAAACAGTCCAAAGTCTTTTGAAATCAGAAGATTGTATTAAATTAGGTATTCTTAATTTAATTATTTTACAATATTTAAATAACATTATACAGATAGCTACATATATATGTTTCTTAGTCTTGTGAAGATTTTTCCCTACTGCATGACTTTTGTTTACTATACTTTTACTTTCCTGTTAGACACTTTTCTTTAGGATTACTTTCAATATTCCAAATTTCTCAATTTATTTATTTTTTGAAAATTATTTGAGAAATGTATCACTCCTTCCACATTTGAATTTTCTACCAAAAACCCAACACTGCCTTGTATAGCACTATAGTAAATGTATTCAGACTTATACCACTGTAAATTCTGAAAGCTGACGGGGTTAGCTCTACTCAACATTGTTCGGATTTATGCCTCCAGGTGGTGTTACTCCCTGCAGCTATATTTAAATGAACAGAGTTATTTTGATATATGCCATTCTGGGTGAATATTTTGTGATATGTGGCCTAGAAAATACCAGTATCTTCAGAAGTGACTGAAACTCTGTGTATGTAGAGGGGGAGCAGAGGAAGGGGGGAGGTTAAGCTTGTGTGTTTCTCAAAGTTACTCTTAAGAGCAGTTCTGCAGAAGTCAGATGTTTGGCTCTTTCTGGAGATCAGCACCATTTGAGGTGTCTCAGACTCAGAACTTGTGACCACTAAAATTGCTAGATTCTTCTGAAGTGGCCAAGGGCATTGTGCCATGAAGCAAATTTACGTCCTTGAAATCACAGAGAACTAGCTTTATGGTATAGCATATACATGTAATCTGTGTAATGAACAATTATAGATTTCTGAATTATTATTTATACTAATCTCTCATTGAGGCCTATAAAACAAATCTGGTAGTTTAAGGTAAATCTAATGTTAGTGCCCATATCAATTTAAAAAGAAATCAAAAATATTTACAAACTATAACATTTATACATAAGTAAAAAAATGTAGTAGAGGAGTTTAGCTGATAGTTATTTAGAAAAGTTTTAACTCCTTTTTGTTTATCGCAGTTAAGGGTAACACAGCCATTTTAACTCATGCCAATAAAATATCCTTATGTTTCCATACACCCTAATGTATTTTCTCTCTCCCTCTCTTCTACGTTCCTGTGTCTCGGTACAAAATACATAATTCATAAGCCCAGGGTTAATTATTAGAGACCTTCATTCATCTTGCCCAGAAACATTGAGTGCCCAGTGAGACTTTTGAGTACTGTATAAAATATTCAACGCTGTTTATATTATCCAACAAGAAGATTTATTAGTCAAAGAGTGAAAAGATTTACACAACAACAGAACTATGGCTGCTGTACTGTGGCATCACAAACTGTGTCTAAAAAAGTTCTGTGCAAACACTGTAATAAAAAAATTGTTGCTGACAATATTGACTGTGAAATTACATCTAGAAGCAATAAATTATCAGGAGTGTATTGTAGACCAATTTTAGAGTGGCTAATCAAAGCCAATAATTTTTCTATTTATTGTGAGAATTAGTAGTAGTTAGATCTAATGAAGACTGTTGATAGACATTCACTGTCCTAATTTCCTGCTTCATCAGAGCGTGTAACTGAAGTGAAGACTGACATCTTCGTCACCAGTTTTGGGCCTGTTTCAGACCATGATATGGTAAGTGATGGCCTATATTTCTACAGCATTCATTTTCTCTTGTCTTTTTAATTTCGAGTATGAAAGATCCATGCAATAACTTATTTACTCCCTTTAAGGCTGGGCTTTTTTTAAACCCTTGATTCCAATATGCTGTCAGCTTTTACATGCAACTGTTCCTGTTAGCTGTGACTGCATTTAAGTGCCCTGAAATTAGCAGCCCCAGTGACTTTAATAATGTGTTTTAACAGACCTTATATTTGCTACATAATATATTATGAAATGCATTAAGGTTTGGATCCGTATTCTTCTGAGGATGGTTGCTCAGGTCCTTGCTGGCACATCACTGATCCAATTTGCCGAGAAAGATCATCATCTTAAAATGCAATTAACACTTATACCTACAGTGTGACATCCATACAATCTAACCTGTATTTTTATATTAAAAGCTACTGATCAATGGGAAGTGACTTTCCCAGATCTTGGCTACTGAAAGAGAAGAGAAGATTAATGAGAGAATTAGTGTCACTTCTTTATGGAATGAATATGAAAATCAAATTGCTAGATAACTGCAGGGGATGGAGAAGTTCAGAAAACTGAATAAAGATGTTGTAAGCCCTGATCTTAAGAGATATTAAAAATTGCGTAAAAATACGGATAAGGTGCTTTAAGTTTTGTCTATAAACGAGGTCTTCACAAGGTTGCTATTGACACGGAAAGCCTGGTCTGCAGCTACTAGTATCTGCTGGATCCTGCATTAGGATGAATGCTGGAAACAGCCTCATTAACTTCAATGAAGAAAAGAAAACAGTTTGACGTTGTAGCTGGCTACAGTTAATCATGGAATCATTGAATGGTTTGGGTTGGAAGGGACCTCAAAGATCATCTGGTTCCAACCCCCTGCTATGGGCAGGAGCACCTCCCACTAGACCAGGTTGCTTAAAGCTCCATACATTCACAAAAAGAGAGATTAAAAAAAGAGACAGAGATAAAATTTTCACAGGAAAGGAAGCAAGCTCCATTTCTTACCACAAAATTGTCAGTTGTTTAATTAGAACTAAAACTGTAGACAGGCCTTAAACACCATATTATAAGTTTCTGACTACTCAAAACAGTGTTAAGGGATGGAATAACAGAGAAAGTAACTTTTACAAGATAGTTTCTTTTCCTAAATGAACTTTGTGCAAAGACACCATTCTCCTGATTGCTTGGAAAATAGCATTTATAAAACTACAAATGTATAATTGCAACTGGTGCCATGATATTTAAATGAAAAAGAGTAACTTGGGCAGCACAGACTTTTTGACCAGTCATTATGCTAAGTTCTACAATAGAAGGGTAATCTAGGGAAATAGCTAGACTCGTGACTTGTCTCCCAGCTGCACCCAGGACATCTCCTCAGCACATATATACAATACTGTCTAAGTATTATATATCCCCTGACAAGGATTAAAAAAAAAAAAAAAATCGTTCAATGACTTCTGCTTTTTTTTCTGTGATAATGTTATGAAATTACAAGGTCTACTTACTACTCTAAATTGCACATTAAAAGAAGGGAAATTTCTTGGATTAAAGATTGGTAGAAACCACTGACATCCACTATTTGTATTCTGGTAATTGTTTCAGCAAAACACTTCATCCTGCTTTCCCATTTCTGTCTCAAAATAGGTAACCAATCACCACTGGACAAATGGAAAAGTTCAAACATAGTCATGTGACTAATTTTTTTTTTAATATTTAATAGTCTTTGAATTAAAACTGTAGCAGCCGAAGTTTGTAAGTGGTCTAAGATGCCTCCATTTTTCCAAATACCTCTCTTCTTGGGATAGGTCTTTTGTTAATTTTCTGAAAATTAATATTTCATACTGGCAATTCAGTATAGCTGAATTGCTACAGTGTAAGTGATCACTACCTACAAAAGAAAAACCCTCAAAAATGACTAAAAACCCATACCACATTGGCTCCTGATTTTCTCTTTGTTAGAAAAAAGAATTCATCAGTCTCTTAATAAAGTGTGTAGCCATGAAACACACAGGCAGGTGTTCATATGTTTTTAAAACTAAGGAATTACAGAAAAGTATTTAGTGTAAAACTCCTACTCATGTCCCCTAAAAAGTAATGTGTGTGCAGCCTACTCGTGCTAACTCTTTTGCTTAAGGAAATAAGTGTGAAATCAGAGGCAGTGGGAGAAAGATAAAAGGAAGAGCTTACAAGAATATAAAGTTTATATTAATTTCAATGTACCTTTAGTGCAAAGTCCTCTGTGCATACTACAGTTGTGTTGTAGACATCACCGTTTGAGGGCTACCGCAAATTTCCTCCAGTGAGCAGATGTACAGCAAATGTAGACTGGATTGTGGGATTTGGTCACAGTGAGGCCTCATGAGCAGCTGTACTGGCACACCGAGGGAATGATGCGCTGCTGTCTGAGCCCAGGACTGACGGCTGGGAACTGGCAATGAGCTATTCCAGCTGACGCCGTATGTTATGAAACCACAGCCACAGTGAGACATCAGCATACCTAGACCATCTGTTTGCAGGAATCCAATGAGGCAGTTATATAGATAGTAGGTTGATATATCAGGGAGTACATGGTGTTCCTACCCACTCTCAATACACTCTTTTAAGAGCAGCATAGACATAACCTGTTATTCTATAAAGAGAATGTCTTGGCTTGTTCTTAAACCTGTGAATAAAGTTAAAAAGGAGAAAAGCACTTTTTAAAATAAAAACATCCTTTTTGGGAAGAACGTCGCAGGTTTTCAGGCACGGTCTCTCAGATGGTGGATTGAACTAATCAACAGACAACTGGCTATTCTCACGACTGTCATTTTTGTGAAATTTTTATTGTATATTAACTGGAATAAGAAGCATTTTTAAATTAGCCTTTTTTCATAAAGGCAGAAATTTTCCTTTCTAGTAAACCTTCATTCCCACTGCTTCTGTACTGTAAACTCTTCAGGAACGAATTTCTATCTTGCTACATTCCTGTACAGCACCTTCTCTGATGTAGACCACAGTGTGGTCCACCCTGTGAATAAACAGTCTCCAGGAAGAGATATCAGATGAGTAAATTAGAAAATATTCAAGTCAAAGTGTTAAAAATATTCAATACCATACAGCTTATTGCCAAAGTGCAGATAGGAATCTTCTTTCTTTACCCGCACACTAAGGAATGGAGAGTCTCCACTGTGGAGAATTTATTCCAAATTTCATCTCGCACATAGGCCACTACTATAGTACATGGTTTGGAGAAAATCCTTCTGTTCCCTTGTTCTGTATGGCAACATTCTGTAAAAGAAAGCCCTAATCAGGGTGTCTGATTACTTGATCCTAAAGGTCAGGTGTCTGTCAGGATTTATTTGAAGAGAATTATTGTACATATTAAAGTGGATAGTGAAAGCTAAAGAGTTGAGAAATCTCAGCCAAAACTAATTCATTCTATATGGTGCAAGGGCCTGGGATACAGAAAGATTCAGTCTGTGCCAGACATGGCCTGTCAACTACTTTTTAATTAAGTTTTATTTTATGCTGTCACATTCCTTATTAAAGCTCTCAGATTCCTAGTTCTTTTCCAGCATAAGAACCTTGTGTTCATACAAAGTGAAGAACCAGACTTCCTTCTCTCAACCTGTACCACCTCCCACTCACCTCCTTTTTTGCAGTTGAAAGAGATAAAAAGGAAATGGCTTATATGCACACTGAAATGATGTCACCTTCTGGGCATGTCTTTTACCTTTCCCACGTGTGTAGGAGGAAATTTTCTTTAGAGCTAGCAAAGCATGGAGGAAATCCAATATTTCTATGCCATCTACTGCCTTTTAAACCTCTTTCTCTCCTACTCTGCTGCACACCTGGGATGAGATTTTGCACATTCAACCTCAGGCCCCGACCCAGCAAAATCCTGAAGCAAGTAGTTGGCTATATGTGCACAACTGCTGTCACTGGAGCTGAACAAATCCAGGCTTCAGCAGCTCACTGAGCGCATGATTAAAAAAATGGAAATACAATGAAGTATGCACCAAAATGATTCACAGGTTTGGGACATAAATAAAAACCAACCAACGAACGAAACCCACCCCACCCCCC